ACAACTATTTAATGTCAAATTGCCTGGTAGGCTTTCTAGCTTTCATATAAAACATTGTTTATAGTGTAACAGTGTTAATCTTTTGCAGAAAAAAAATAGATTTACAGCACCCTGCAGCATATATATGTTTTATATATAAATTTCCCTGGGTAAAAGGCCACTTGCATTAAATAGTTGTCTTAAGCTATGGATGTGAAGCCATGTAGTTGGGCCGGAGACTGGAAACAACAAAATTTGGAAGGTATGACAGGATTATTTGTTGTTCATGTTAAATAGGTTGTTGTTGTTGTTGTTGTTTTTGCATACCTGCGTCTTGGCAGAAAATGAAAACACGGACGGTACTAAAATGGCAAGATTTTAATTGAATTGAATGGTGTTATAGATGTTGGGGTCCATTGGTCATATTTCCTAATCTGAATTTTACACCCACAAATGTCAAATTTCAAAATCAATAATAATGAAATGAAAGTTGGCATTTCTGAGAGAAATGCAGATGGTGTACATTTCCTGGGAAGTAAACAGGAAAGCTTCTGATAATAATTCATGCCATGAAATGGCTCATATGGCCTCCCAAGGTGAGCAGAAACATTTCAGGTTATGTCAGTGAGATATCATATATCTCTCTCCAGTATTATTCTCCATTTCTTTAGAGTAATTAATCAGGCATTTCTTACATATCCCATCTTGGGAGTTTTGAATACAAGCAATGTGGTTTGACAAATTAAAATTTTAATCTTGGAGTAAAAGCCTTTGTGTTGTTTTTTTCTCTTTCAGATAAGAAAAAGTCTCAAAAGAAGAAAAATGCGGATAAAGACACCCAAAGAAAACAAGGGAATAAGAAGAAGAAACTTGAAAAGGAAAAGGAATGGAGGTGGCCCGAGAGGGAAAATGGTGCTGCAAGAAACTCAGAGAGGAATGCTGACAAAAGCTCCAGTAGAAAAGACGAAGCATTTTATGAGAGAGATTATTCCAGTGATAGAAATAAATCCCGGAGTGGAAAGGAGAGGGACCGAGAAAAACATCTCCCTCTAGACAGTAAAACCAGCCATTCTAAAAAAAGAAAAGAAGGAAGACCTTCTTTTTCTGATGAAGAGAGGGATGAAGAGAGGGATGAAGAGAGGGACAGGTACCATAAGAGGGACAGCAAGCTCCACAGAGAGAAGAAGGACAGATCTAAGTCCAGAGAGAGGCCTCACCATTATCCCAGCCCCAGAGAGTTTGAGGAAAACAGCCAATATTCAAACCAGTTTAAAGAGATAAGGAAAGACGAAAGCAGGAGAAGGCACAGAAATGCTTCCCCATCCAGGCACAAATGAATCAAGAAGAGTTTTCAATACCGCCTTGCCATTTGAACTGTCTTTTTACAACTTGCTACACATTTTTTAAAGAGAAACCCTTTGTACAAAAATACTTCCAGACAGTAATGATTCTTCGAATCACTGTTAATTGTTGGAGCTTTCCGCTAAACTGCTGCTTAAAAGACTTTGAATCCAGGAGGAATCAAAGCCCAGTAAAACAGTTAAACATTGCTTTCACTGGCGTAATGGTATGCTGTAAATATTTATTCTTTTAAATTTTATTTGTGTTTTCTGGAAATGCTAAACATTCCTTCCTTTTCATTTTTGAATTTTAGATTTCAGCATATATTAAAGTTTCATTTCAGAAATAACATTCGTGGGGTTTTTTGTGTGAATTCAGACTAAAAGGCAGTCTTTTAAATTCAACAATTAAAAATAGATCAGAGTTTGGAGATGAAAGCTTTGCCAATATCTATCATGGTATATTGGTCACATTCAATGCCCTATATACTCGAGATAAGCCCATCTCTGAATAAGCATGATCCTTGACTTTTTGACCCAAATGACATGATAACATGCCATATGTTGACAAGGCTGATTAATCATATACTCTAGATTAGGGGTGTCAAACTCAAGGCCCACGGGCCAGATCCGGTCTGCAGGGTGCTTAGATCTGGCCCACAAGGCTGTCCTAGCCCTGAGCTCGGAAGCGGTGCATTCTGTTTTCACTGGCAGAGCGCTTGGGCCACCACAGGTGCACTCGATATGAGTGAGCTGGCCAAGCCCACCCCAGCCCCTGAGATCAAACACAACCTGATGTGGCCCTCTGGCCAAGCCCAACACAATGCTGATGTGGCCCTCAATGAAATGGAGTTTGACACCCATGCTCTAGATGGAAAGCAGTTGTGAATAAACAACAGCAATAAGTTGATATTGTGGCTGTAAATTTAGTAAATACTAAATTTACAAAATTTTGTAGGAAATTCTAAACAAGTCATGCTTCTGTTTAAATTTGAAAATCTAAAGCTAAAGAATCAATATGTTAAAATTCCCCCTTTGTTAGCTGACGTCATTATAAAAGCTGAAGTTGAATAAAAACTCATGAAGGATGATTGCTGGATGTTGTTTTGATGATTTAATCATAAAAGATTATTTCTTTAAAAACCTAGCCAGAGGATGTGTATTTTTTCACTTCTGAAAAATATATAATTCTGGTAAGAACTATATTTGATATTTTAAAATTATTGCCATTCAGAGTCTGATGTGAGCAGTACTATTCTCAAATGTCTGTATCATAAATTGTTTTAAAATGCTTATGAGAGTTACTTGTTGAATCAATTTCAAAATATAAAAAAACAATGCAAAACCTGTTTTCAATTAGGCATGTAAATAATGCTACTCTTTAATAATTTCCACGAATACCCATTAGTAAAGGAACATATTGTTGAACTATATAATTTAGGGCACTGTAGGAATAGAGCCTGGGTAATCTATAGGAATTTAGTAGCATCTCTTCCATTTTTTTATTACAAGACAGATGTTTTTGAGTTGCAGTTCATTTTATTAGATTCAGAATGCCGTCTATGCATCCGATGAGGTGAACTACAGCTCACAAAAACTTTTGCCTTTTAATACAACTTGGAAAAGGTACTGCCGGTCTCTTTCTATGTAATTTAAATATCATTGAGGATAACATAACAAAAAGCTACATTTGAAATAGATAACTATAAAACATGTCAACAGTAAATTTGTACTTGTCAAATTTTTGTTCCCTTTTCTTTCTAAGCTTTTGAATTGTTTTCATTCTTTCAAAGCCACCGAATTGTGTTATGAACAAAGATCTGTATGAAAAAAGAGTTAGGAATTTTGCCCCTACCTCCTTTTCTCTATTCCCAAGTGGGATACTTGCAGATTCACTTTCCAGTTGTGGAATCCCCCCCCCCCCCCAAGACCAGGCCAACGTCATTTATTGAAAGCAAGTATGGAGCTGGAAAAATTGTGAAACGAATATGAAAGATGATTGGGGAAATGGGTAAGCATGGTTTCTTCTGCCTACCCTTTCACAATGGGAATTTCTCCCATATCTCACTCTGTCTGTTTATTTCATTTATTTATTTATCAAATTAGTTGTGCAAAGTTCAGAACAACATAATATTTTACTCTTGTCAGATCAAAGCACAATTCCAACCCTTTTTAAATTTGGCTCAAATTTTGAATAGGCTCAAATCAAAACACATTTTGTATTTCACACACAATCACAACAAAGAAACACATTTGGGTTCCAGCCATTTGTCTTCGCACTATTTCAGAGCGTCTTGATTTTGTTGCCACAAACTGACTCAGCTGTCTTTTGAAACTGGAACAAATGTCACACAAATCAATTCAAGATACAGACAAAGACCCAAGATTTGACAACATTAGCAGTCTCTCTGCTGTTCAACCTGCTTAGGTTTTTGTCTTAAATTCACATACAGATCTATTTTGGAAACTATTTTGGTTTTTTAATATTTTGCAAGAGTCTCTTGAAGAAGCAGTCCAAACGTAATGTATTTGTCACTGCATTAAAAATATTTCCTATTTTCTCTGTCCCTTATTTTAATTTTTTTTAATTGGATTTCTCTCTAATATTGTTTAANCGGAGCTGCTAAAAACGAAACAGTTCCCACAGACAACGCCAACCGGAAGATGCTGTGTTGTCACATCTTGATTGGTTGATGGAATTGATGTTTGGTGAGGGTGATTGGTGATGGCATCCTGTGTTGTTCTGGGTCCTGTGTGGGTTTTTGTGGCTGGGACTCGTTTGTTGATGAGGGCTGGTTTCCAGATGCCTGGTAGGCAGAGGAATTGTCACATTTATTCATGTTGTGAGGGGTGTTTCTCTATTTCGATGGCTTCCATAATTATTCTCTTGTTGAAGTTTTGGAGAGTAATTTGGTTCCTTCAAAATCAGCTTCATTCAAATCAATCACAAGCACGAAGCCGAAGGCACCAGCCTTAAGATGACGAGTGGGACCTCGTCGAAACGTCGCCAAGATACTGTCAATCTTACATGGGAAAAGACACGAATACGCCAAGACCTGCATACCTGTACCCGTGAAAATCTACGAAAGCATACATATACATATATGTGTGTGTGTGTGTGTCTTTGTGTGTGTGTTTGGGTATAGGAATATATAGAAATGTGTTTATAGGAATATATAAAAAAAGAATGTTTGTGTGTGTGTTTGTGTGTGTTTATGTGTAGGAATATATTTAAAAAGAACGTGTGTGTTTGTGTGCCACTCTTGTCTGAGTTCTCCATTCACTTTGTATGCCGTAGTTATTGAGTGAGTATGTGTGTATACATATAACATTTGCTGAATATGTATGTCTGTATGTGTGCATATATCTCTCAAACTTCCTCTTTCTGCTATGTCTTCCAAGATGGACAGTGATTAAAATGTATATGTATTTATATGTTAGGATATGTATGTAGATAGCGTATTGGTACACACATGTACACTCAATAAATACGGTGTAGAAACTGTATGGAGAGTGCATACACATGATATATACATATATAGAGGGAGAGAGTTGGAGGGAGGACTAGCTAGGCTACATGTAAATGGAACAACAGAGAGGCATCTTGGACAAATAACTCAAATTTTAGTCTTTAATATATAGACTGATAGGTATAAATTGTAAAGATATAACTTTGTATTCTTTTGCTTTGTTTATGAGAGAAAATGTATTTGCTTAATTTTTTCTTATATTTCTTAATTTATCTGTCACGTTGTTTATCTCATTGTTGGTCTGATGTTATCTTGGAGTTAATCTGTATTGTTTACTTCATAGTTCTGATGTTATCTTGGAGTTAATCTGTATTGTTTACTTCATAGTTCTGATGTTATCTTGGAGTTAATCTGTATTGTTTGGCAGTTTCTTG